GGCCCGTTGATAAGATTTGCCCGGGAAGGGGAAAATCGCTCGCCCAGCATGTGCTCAGCCGATTTCTCGGTAAATCAGAAACTATGGGAAAGAAGCCTGTAGCTTCCCCGGTGAACATTTAGTGGAACAAACAAGGGAAAGGTGTCCATATATTTTAGCCCTTGCAAACACTAGAACAGCTCTGCGAGCATGGTGAGAAGACACAGCTGATGTCACAAGACTTCTTCTAGTCGCAACAGCTGATTCTCTTGCTTGACAAGGAGCTAGAATGAGCGACACAATCACCCTATGCACAAGAATTCTTCTAACTGCTCAAAATCTTTATAGCAAGAGAATGGACCATGGAGGGGCCAACGGAACTAGGGGCGCTCGAGGGAGCAGAGGGAAGAAAAACATGGCTAAAATGTTGAGTTGCTCTCGCCAGGGTCGGATAGGCGTTTTATAGCCGACCCAGCAAGATGAATCCAAGTGCCCGTGAAGCAGTGACGGTCTTGTAAAAAGTTTTGAGGCATAGGCTCATGAATGGACGTAAGCGGCGACAAACAATGAACCCAGATCAAGGTTCTCTACCCATCACTATGGACCAATCAGGGATACAGACACCATAATTTTGGAATAAAATTACTTTTATTCCAAAATTGGGGGGCATGTGTTTACACCAAAATTTGGAAGAAGGGTCTCAGGGGGCTCGAGAGCTCCCAAAATCATGTCAGCAGGGGATCGATTGCGTGTAGACTAAAAACAGCTGATTCGGATGCGGCACTAGAATCGGCTTTCTTTAGATAGCGCCAGCAGATAACGACAGAGGCTACGATCGGCGCTGGGACGAGAGATATCTGGACTCTACAAAAAGGGAAAGATTAGAGTCCAAGTTATCTTAAATTAGGAATGTTTTCATTTATACCAAAGATTGTAACAAATCATGCTCGAGTAGGATTCATGTTTAGACTCCGGGTATAAATATCAAACCCCGTGCTATTGTAAAAAACAATCAATCAAATACAAGTCAATTACTTTTTTTAGCTCCAGCCACCCCTTAAGAGTAAGAGTAGAGTAGATCTCGGTGAGTTCTTCAGCAAGTACGGCAGCATCGATCCAGTCGACCACCATAGCTTGTTGTAAGTACCGTCATGGCTTATACCTCTGTTCATACGGATGCATCGATCCGGTCGACCTCCACTATGACTCTGGTATAAGTTAGTTAACGATTATTGTCTAGTTCAAGTATGGCTGCATCGATCCGGTTGACCCCCACTGCATGAATTAGATCAAAGTTAAGTTATCGGCTCTACCTTAGAGTGGCAGTCTTTGATAGATTCATTAAGTTACCGATATTGCTTATTGCTTACATTGTTTTATCTAATTACAGCAATATCACTCTGCCCGATTAGGATTGATTTGGATCAGCCTTATATCTTATTTAACCCATCGTTTGCTAATCTAGAACTGACCTAATCCACACTCTAAACGATGAGTTATGTTTTTATCGGCTATTTTACATCAATCTCAATCATGCATAGCGTGCGGTTAAGGCATGTTACATCTTGAGTAGATCTATTGGCTAGCGAAAACCTTTCCATGGCCCGTTATCACGTCTGTGTGATTCTGCCTCACACCCCACTGTTAGCACCATGGAATGAGGATCGTTATTTAGTAGATCTATTCCTAGTAAGACATGACCCTAACTGTGCGTTATGCCTGAATCGACTGTTTTAGCTGATGTCGAAAGCTTTCACAAACAGTTGGCATCACGAGACCGTTGAAGTAAAGATAGGTTGAAAGATGTGTTAGCCCCATGATCTTATTATTGTATTACGGCCTGCATGATTCTGTCTCATGCCCCACTGATATTAGTAATGAGTTAGGGTCGTCAAGTCTATTGTTATTTCTACGGCCTGCATGATTCTGCCTCATGTCCCACTGGTCATAGCGGTAGATGAGATCTAACATGTTCATTAGATTTATCTTTATTAAACGATCAAATGGTGTTGAATTATTTCTTTACATAAAAGAGGGTCCGGTTACCTATAATCATTGGCTCAGCATAAACCGATCATTGTTGATATCTTATTGCCATTGATGAATATTTGTTTAAATAACGACATTTACCCTGAATGATAACCGATTCTTCTTATACAACCCAATGAGCTTTATTCGATTTATTCTCATGACTATGCTGGAATCGACTATTTAGTCGATTTCCTTTCATCTCGGCTTTCATAGCCGCACATTCGGGACTGTCTGGCAACACCGGCAAGTTTCGCCCTTAATTACTGATAAACTTTCTCTCCTTGTCAATTGCAGGGTCAAATTGACTGGCACGTCTCGGGAGAATTGCGCAGGATCGACCATCCCTGTGTTGAAGCTAGGCGGATCTGCTCCATCGAGCGGACCCTTCCGGCTTACTGCGTGTGTCCTCGGCACGGGACGAAACTTCTGTGTCGACACATACATATAGGGACAAATACTTTGAATAATATCATAAATGGATATTTTACAATGATAAAATATCACAAGTACAACTATAGTTAAAGTCAGCGACTAAACACAAGAGTACTTAATTTTATAGCACATAATTATAAGAGACTAATAGAGTTTTATATAAATTAATGCTGAAAATATTAAATAAAATAGACACTAAGTCTGCTGGACCGATTGGAACTAGAAACAAAGCCAACTTCAGATTCGGGCCCAGAAAGACCCATGCGGGCAAGCACAGTAGGAGAGGGAGAGGGTTAGCAGGGCGTCAGCCTTGGGCTGGCCCATTTCTTGGCGTGGCCCTTCAAAGGTGTGGGGCGTCGGCAGTTAGGGGTGCCTGCTACCGCTGCCGCCTGCCTGCCTGGAGGCCTCCGTCGTCGTAGGTCCCGCCGCCGCCTCTTCCCACTACGCTGCCGCTGCTTGCCATCTTCAAGACAAGGAAGAAGACTCCCCCTTGTCTTGGGAGAGGAAGCCACCTCCTGCTGGGGCCATTAAGCGCCGCCGCGGTCGGGAGACCGAGCGCCACCATGTCGGGCGGCAGCCTCCGCACTTGTTCTTGGTGGAAGGAGCAAAGGCGCGGCCAGGGTTGAAGCCGAAGGAGGCGCGACGTCCATGTTGAGGATCTCTTGTGTTGGGGAGGCCAAGGGCCCGAGTGCTAGGTGCATGTGCGCACGGCCGGGCGGATCCCAGGGCGCCTTTCCACCGTCGCCCCAGTGCGGCCGAGGAGGCGCTGTGGAGTCGGTAGGGACGCAGCCGGAGGCGAGGTTGCAGCCGGAGGAGGAGCCGAGGGTCCGGACGCGTCGGAGGAGGTGCCGACGTCGGGGGCAGCCAGGACAAACTCCATCAACACAGCGAAGGGCGAAGAACATGCCATGAACGATGTGCGAATGTAAGTTGATTCACGTCATGATTCTTACTGATGGTGGTTCAGAGGCATTCATTGCCTCTGCGTTCTCCTTCTCCCTATCCAAAAGAGCGAAAGTACTGATAATGTGTTAAAAGTTAATGAAAATGAACAATAATTTCAGAACAACTATTGCTTTCATTGATCTTTTAGATATATATACAAGTGAAGGGTCACGTTGTACGGACGCCATACGAACGTCGTACGGACGTGACTGTTGGGGAAAATGTAACTGTTCACTAGAACAGTCTACTGCCGAAGGGACATGCCTGTTCGTAGTGCTAACTGCTTATACTAACTAACTGCTAGTTTTCTTCATCTGTTGATGAGATCACTGGTGTCTGTTAGAACAAACACCGTTTCATAACAGTTGCGTGATGATTCACCTTATGCCCGCACGTAACAACTTTGCCCATTAATCTACCATGTACACGTAGAAGAAGAAAACCAGGATGAATTTAAAAATGGTCAAGGGTTCCAATGCAAAAGCGTTTGTTAGATTTTATTAAATTTTGAAAATGCATAATAATAAAACACAGAAATAATAATTACAAAGTGAAACTAATTTTGTTAGGTATCTATAAACCAGATCTACATGATATGTCATAAAGATCATGAAATATGCTTTATGTAATCAAATTTATATATTTTTTAATATGTTCGTCTAAACCCCAAGCCATGTGCATCGTCGTAGATATGAATAAAAAATTGTTAAAATATTTGTCTAAACCATAAGACACATACATCGTTGTAGAAATGCATACAAATTCGTTGCCCCATGCAACCCGCACCGGCATATATCTAGTTCAGATAATAATAAATATGAAAAGAACGAAACAAATATATGTTATACGGGCGCGCCGTTAGCGTGCCTACCGTGCTAGTTACTAACATTAGACAGATTATTATGGTGTGCCGTGTGTTTCCATACTCCCTTTATCTTGTTGAAATTTCATTGGCAACAGTGTGATACCGACCAAGTTTTTTTTTTTTAGAGAGAGTACAGCCCAAGTGTGGTACAGTACAGGCCAGCCCGTGATTCCAAGCGCGACACATGGGCTTTCGTCGTTGATACGTACATGGGCCGATTAAAAACTCCAGCCCGAAACAATGGAACCCAGCCCAAACTCACCATTATCTGCCGAGCCACCAGAAATCCAGAATTCGGGAGACGAGTCACGACGACTGACTTCGTGTTTCTCAGTAGTTGCTGGCTTGCTGCCATACATACCTGAACCGAACCCAATCGCCATGGCACGGACCATGGACATGGAGTAGTACACCTGAGTGTTGACTTCCTGAGCCACGAGTGCCGGCAATGGTCAAAATCGCGTCGAATCGAGCATGCATATACACGCAGGTTCAAATTCACATTCGCGAACAAAAGAAAGGAGTACGGGGTGGTCAATTCGATGGGCCGAATTTGAATTCCGCGATGGACAAAATACATGCGTGCCGCCACCGTACCGTGCCACACCCTACACGTTCCAAGTTGCGTTCAGCCGCGTGCAAACCGTGCAACAAACCGCCCACACGCACCCCCAAAAACGTTACACTTGCACCCCCACCGAACACAGAGAGGCCTTCGTCAGTTCCATTTCCACAGGAGACTAGCTAGCTAGTTGTACTGGAACAAGGTCGTCCGCTCCGGCCAGACCGCGGCGAACGCGGCCGTCTGCGCCGCCGGCGCGACGACGTCGACCCGCCACGCGAGGAACTGCGGCGGCACAGCCTCGGCGTCCGCGACGTCGCACGGGAACGCCGGCCCATCGCAGCCTCCGTAGGGCACGGGCGCCGCCCTCCCGGCCGCCGCCGCCGGAGCGCCGTACTGAGCCCGCTGCGCGAGGTAGCCGCAGCCGCCCTGGTCCATGGCCGCCGTTGCCGTCGCCGTCGCCGTCGCCGTGGCCGCCGCGCGCCGCTCCTCCTTCTTGAACCTGATGCCGCAGGCGTTGCACAGGGACTGCATGCATGCATCACGGACAGCAGATACGCATCGGTCAGCGCACTCGTATAGTAGGACAGGAGTATGCATGGCAAGCTCATGCATGCATTTGCATGGGGGTATGGGACGAGACGGCCGAAGTGTCCCGCTGGCATATATGGGAGACCGCGCTGGTTTTCAGCTAGCGGACGTGAAAAAAAAACTGTTAGTGGCAGACGACACGACGCTGGCTCATGTCGTGCGTGTGACTGTGTGTCACAAGTTACGCCGTGATGCGCAGCCTGTTGCCGACTGATGCTGTTTCTGTGAGGAAAAAACACTAAACATATCAAACGAACGGGCGGCGATTCCTACACTATTTCACGTTCACACTGCCTTGTTTGTTCATCCTCAAAAATTTGCTAGTCTTCTTTAACAAATCCTATTTTTTGCTAGTTAGCATAATTTTAGGTGCAAACTACTAGTATATTAGTAGGAGTACACTGCAATAGTGCTCAAGGTTTAATGAGAACTCCAACGAAGCTAGCTACTGCTAGAAGCCTTGTTTTAGCGTCGTTTGGGAAAGATGACAGGCGAGGCGAGGAGACGCAGAAGGCAAACCTTGGGGCCGCGAGGTCCGTTCCTCCACAGCGGCGTAGACGAGGTGCCGCAGTTGGCGCAGCGGCGGTCCACGAGCATCGGGTCCTGCCCGTGCCCGGCGCACGGCACGGCGGCGCTCTTGTTCATGGCGGCGGTGGCGGCGGCAGAGGGCCTTCTGCCGCCCTGGCAGCAGCAGCAACAGCAGTAGGACTGATCAGCGGCGGCGGCGACGTCCCACGACACGGTGCCGCAAGACGACGCCAGGCACGCCGGGCGCTGCTTGGCGGCCTCGGCTGCGGCGCGGCGCGAGGACGGCGTGCCGAGCGAGAGCGTGCAGTCGACGGAGCCCGTGGATGAGGAGGACGGGGACGAAGGGGAGGTGGTGACGGAGCTGTGGCTATCGTCGTCGAACCCGTCCGCCGCCATCGCCACCGGCGCGAACTCAGCCTTGTTGTTGTGCCTCGGGAAGAAGAGCGAGAAGGTGGTGGAATCCGTCGCCATGCTCTGGTGCTGGTGGTGGCTGTGCTGGTGCTGGTGGTGGCTGCTGCTGCAGTTGCGAAGCATGGTCCTGGTCCGCAGCGAGGCCACAGTTCTGGGTTTTAAAGCGAGGCGGCGGCGCCGAGGAAGAGGAGGAGATCCGGAACTGAACTTGGCTTGGATACTGGGACGGGTGGTGGACGACAGTGCTAGTGCAGGAGCTCACAGCTTGGCGAGCCAGCACCAGGCAGGGCTAGCTAGGATTTTTAGGATCAGATTCGCTGTGCAGAGGTCGATCTGCTCGCCTCGTTGATGCTGCCAATGCTGGGAAACCGAAACACAAAGAAAAATAAAACCTTTTCTCACCCTAAAACTTTACACCGGTCATATTAACGTTTGACACACAGATAAAATATTAAATATAAATTAAAAAATAAATAATTACACAGTTTACAACTAATTTACGAGACGAATATTTTAAGCCTAATTGGAGACGAATATTTTAAATCTAATTAGTCCATAATTTGATAATAAAGTGCAACAGTAACACATGTACTAATAATAGGTTTATTAGGCTTAATTCGACGGATTCTGTAATTTATTTTTTCATTAACCGAATACTGCGCACGATAGCCCACGTAACATTTGACGTGACGCCCCGAAACTTTAAAGTCTGAATAGGCCTAAAGCTTTGTTATTTGCTTTGAATACTGAGCGCGGCAGCTGCTCGCCTCGTTGATGCCAACGCCATTGCATGCCCTAGCTAATGCAGCAGTAGGAGTCGCTGGGACCGGGAGCACTGGAGGAAGAAAGGAAAAGGATACAGCACAGGGGGGAGCACCCAATGAGTAGACCGCTGAAGCTGAAGCGAGAGGGGCGCTGTGGATGCGGTGGTGCGCGCAGTGGTCACTGGTCAGGTCAGTCAGGTTCGACGCGACGGGCTGACTGGTCGAAGCAGATGAGACCGGTAGCAGCTGCTGGGCGCTGGCACTTTACCCGGGGCACGCGCACGGCGCACTGTTCACCCTATCTATCCAAGCAGTGCCTCCTGTGCCAGCCAGGCAGCGGCAGCAATCCGTAGGGAGACTCAATGGAGCAGGGCCAGCAGACAGCAATCCGTAGGGAGAATCAATGGAGCAGGGCCAGCAGCAGCAGCATGAAGGCAGGATAGCATCAGCTAGGAGTAGGAGTAGGTACCAGAGAGGAGACCGAGAGAAGAGATTCGGGGGACGGAGGACGCCGGCCGGCCGGTGTCCTAGGAACTGGCAACGATAACGATCGAACGAGGCATCAGCAATGACGAGCGACTGTTCTGGCCCGAGCCTTTCGTCACACAACAAGACCGGAGATCAAGCGAGCGAAAGAAAGGCCTGGCGCCACGGCAGGCATCCATCGCAGACCTAACCTAGAGTACTGCCTCCGTCAAACGCAACTATGGGTTGCTACGAAAGGTGGTTTACGATTTGATTAAATTTTTAATAAATAATATTCATAGTTATATTTTTAAATTAATTTATTATAAAAATATATTTCGTAATTAATCTAATAATATTTATTTAATATTATGAATATGAATATTTTTTATCTATAATTTATCAAAGTTAATGTAGAATTACGCTCTTTTGGGACTAGCCATAGTCAGGCACAGGCGTCTCGTCTCTGGCCTGAGGTCTGAACCGCCACGCCTCGTACGGGCCTGCACCTGCTAGGTCTGGGCGTACGCCCATCCCTCGCCTCGCGTCACCGGCCGCTGACACACGGGCCCAGACGTGCGACGCATCGGCGGCGGGCGGGCGAGCCGCCGAGGCATATGCCTTGTTATTCGGACCGGACCGGACCGGCGGTTCGACCGCTAAAAGACCGAACCAGAGCCTACAACGGTCCGGTTCACTTCAAAGACCGTCTGTGCAATCGAACCGCTATAAACCGGTTGAACCGGCCGGTTTTTTGTAGAACCGAGTGAAGGAAGGCGGTTCCATGCGAACCGGTGCGGTTTGGAAATTTTCAAATTACCCTCCGTGAATTTAGGATGACCTTATTTAGGTAGGGGTATTATTGAAATTACTCTTTAGGGTTGTTTTTTATTTGAGTGACTCGGTGGGAGAAATTTTTCCTTTTTTCCGTTTAGGCGGCGTGCGACGGGCTGACTGTGGTCGAAGCAGGATGAGGCATGAGGTGAGGGACTCTGGGATCGGGGGTGAGGGGTGAGGCGCTGGCTGCCTGCTTGCTTGCTGGGCACGCGCACGAGGCTGAGGCTGAGCCCTATCGAGGTGAGGGGTGAGGGCCGAGGCGCTCTCGGTCGGCGCTGCCAGCCAGGGGCGGCGGCTGCAATCCGTACGCCCTACGCCTCTCAATGGTGGGTGAGACCAGCGCAGCAGCAGCAGCATGATGCTGGGCGAGTAGTGAGAGCGCCATGGCGAGAGCAGAGATTGCTGTCGGGGGACGGAGGACGCCGCTTCGGCGCCGGCCTCTGACAGCGAACTCTCCATCTCCACGATAACGATCGTTCGATGATCGGAAGCATGGCTAATGGTGAGCATTAATCGGCATCTCTGTTCTCCTCTCTAGTCTCCCGAAGATTCAAGGCATGCAACAAGACGGGGAATGGGCTTCATGATGGATGGAGAGCTAAGATTGCTCCTCCTCGCCACGGCGCATGCGCAGGCAAAGACATCGCAGAGAAGCTACTCCTACTACTGCAGGAGCCTTCGGAGAGTACTGCCAGTGACCGTATGGGTCCAGTCCATGGAAGTGGAGGGCATGGGTCACGAATTGAGTTTGACGTTGCGTCCAATAAATACTCTCCACTCATGCAGCCACTGTGGCAGTGTTCTCCTGATCTGATTAGTTTAGGATTGTTTCTACAAGATTTGGCTAGTAACAAATATGTTCCATTTCTTAATTAAGCTGCTGGAATGCTGGTAACTTGTCTTCCCCTTTCTTGTGCATATAGTTGATTCTTGGCCTATTCCACTCATGCAGCGAGGTTGTGTTGCTGTGAGCCATGAGCCCGTGACTATTTCTATGATGTATGAATATGAACTATGTATGAAGCGAAACTTATGTTATTGTTATCCGTCACTTGATGTTTTGAATTAACATGTCATTTTATATATATATATATATATGTATGAATCCAATTATTAATTATAGCATATATATATACACCGGTTCATAGTATTTGTGACCGGTTCAACTAGTCCGGTCTAATACAATCGGACCAGCGGTTCAACCGGTTCTATACGGTTGGACCAATGAACCAATGAACCGACAGCCTCGCCGGTTCGATCTCCGGTCCGGTCCTAAAAACTAGGGGCATATGAGCCCCGTGGAACAGTCTCCCACGCACGCGGACGGACGAGGGCCGGGCGCGTATCCGAAACGAGTACTCCTACGTACGCATACTACTCTACGCATCGGCTCGCCTGCCCGCCGGCGCGGATCGCGATGCTGCCGCAGCACGGTGGCGGATGCGCTGTTGCCGTGCCACCGGGATCCGTACCCGCGCGCCAGCGCTGCCCCGGCCTGTCGCGTCATCGAGGCCGAGCCGAGGCCCCCGCAAGCCCACACGGCCGCCGCCCGTGCCGTTCCGGTTGCTGGCTGCTGCTGCAGTGCCCTGCGCGGCTGCGCTGCCACCGCCGGGCCGGGAGCACGGGACGCGGATGCTCACCGCCCACCAGGCCACCACCGGGGCCGTCGTCGTACGTACGCGGCGGCTCACGGGGCCAGGGGCCCCCTGTCGCAAGCCGGGGCGTTGCGGCAGCGCAGCTGGTACGGCCGGCCATGCAACGTCATGGTGTCATGGACGCGTACGTGCGTGTCGCGCCGCCGTGCGGGCGGGAGGCGGCGAGCCAGCGAGGTCCGCTGGGGCATGAACAACAGACAGACACCTGTTGTCTGTGAGTTCTTAAAATTTACAACCGCTATACTGATAGCTCGTACAACACAGACAGTTAATGTATGGTTAGCTGTCTATAAATTATTTAATACTTGTATATAGCCATATGACCAATCATAAATATTATTTTATTATTTTTGTATATCATTGTGTTACTAATTGATGCAAAATATAAGAGACATGTAGACGTTTGATAGATTCACACAAGGAGATACGTTCATATACAGGTCACATCTCACAAGCAAACCAAAAAGATAGATCACAAGATAAACCATATGTTCCATACATTCAAAAAAAAATGGCAGGTTCTATACAGGTTTAAGTGGAAAGATTTCCCAGTACAGAACTGAACCTGGGAGGCTTTGGCCATCAGGTCATGAACACTATGCACAAATGCTAGACATGAACGAATAGCCATGACATTTTGCAAGAACACGCACATCAGACATGACCAGGCCAAACAGAACTTCCACGGTACATAATGGCCCCGTTGGGCTTCAGCCGAAACAATATTCTTCTTTCACAACAATTCAGCTAGAACAGTGTTTTTCAGCTATTTTTAACCAAAATTCAGACCAGCGAATGCGGCCAATAAATTGTACATGGGTTACCTTCTCCATAAACTTAAGTTCTGAAAACAGGTCCTAAAACTCCAACCAAGTCAAGCAGTGAAACATCACAAAAGGGGACGCGTGATCAGCCATCTGGAGGCTCGGTCTCACACATTCTTCAGACAAGTTGTCAAACCTCATCAGTAACTGGAAATAATAGTGTGAACATCTCTAATTTGTGTACGCAAATAATAGGTACACTGATAATGATCAGTAAACAGTAACTGAAAATAATGATCTTCGAAAACATTCCGTAGCTAGGAAAAAATCAGAACTAGCATAGTGTCGTTAACTATAAGTGAAAACATTCAAAGTTGGAGTAAGTGATAACGTTCATTTATCAATTCTAGTGAACTGAAACATTCAGTAGGTACAAAAATTTCAGGGATCAGTGACTGTACACATTCAGTTATCAGTTACTATCCCAAGATATATTTTTCAACTGAATCAAATCATCAGACAATATTGATAATTTTCCAACCGAATCAAATTAGCACTATCATTAAGTGAAAAATGGGGTTGGTTGTTGAATAAACCCATAAATCCACCAGGGGATGTGTGTTGTTGTCCCTGCAAAA